GGGCCCAAGGACACACAAATTATTCACTGCGTGGGGATCCCCATGTGCATCTCCTTGCTGGCGCTCCCTTGGTGGTGGGACTCGGTGAGGACGAATCTGGATTTAAGTGTGACTGAGCTGCCCTCTCTCTCTCTCTCTCTCTCTCTCTCTCTCTCTCTCTCTCTGCTCTCTCTGTCTCTCTCTCTCTCTCTGCCCTCTCTCTGTCTCTGCCTCTCTTTCCCTGCCTCTCTCTCTCTCTGCCTCTCTCTCTGCCTCTCTCTCTCTGCCTCTCTCTCTCTCTCTGCCTCTCTCTCTGTGCCTCTCTCTCTCTGCCTCTATCTCTGCCTCTCTCTCTCTCTCTCTCTCCTCTCTCTCTTCTCTCTATTCTCTCTCTGCTCTCTCCTCTCTCTCTCACTCTCCCTCTCTCTCTCTCTCGCTCTCTCTCTTCTCTTCGCTTCTCTTCTCTTCTCTCTCTCTCTATCTCTCTCTCTCTCTCTTCTCTCTCTCTATCTCTCTCTCTCTCTCTCTTCCCTCGCTCTCTCTCTCTCTCTCTTCTCTCTCTCTCTCTTTCGCTCTCTCGCTCTCTCTTGCTCTCTCTCGCTCTCTGTCGCTCTCTCTCGCTCTCTCTCTCTCTCTCTCTCTCTCTCGCTCTCACTCGCTCTCTCTCTCGCTCTCTCTCGCTCTCCCTCGCTCTCTCCCGCTCTCTCTCTCTCTCTCTCTCTCTGCTCTCTCTCTCTCTCTCTCGTCTCTCGCTCTCTCTCTCTCTCTCTCTCTCTCTTCCTCTCTCTCTCTCCCCCCCCCTCTCTTCTCCACTTTCTCTCTCTCTCTTCTCTCCTCTCCCTCTCTCTTCTATCTCTATCTCTCTAGCTCTGTCTTCTCTCTTCTCTCTCTCTCTCTCTATCTCTCTCTTCTCTCTTCTCTCTTTCTCTCGCCTCTCCTCCTCTTCTCCAAATCCCCACCTATCTCTCTCTAATCCGCTCTCTCTCTCTCTCTCTCTCCTCTCCCTCTCTCTCGCTTCCTCTCTCTCTCTCTCTTGCTTCTCTCTCTCTCTCTCTTTCTTTCCTTCTCTCTCTCTCTATTCTCTCTCTCTCTCTCTCTTCCTCTGCTCTCTCTCTCTCATCTCTCTCCTCTCTCTCTCCTAGCTCGGGGCTCGCTCGCTCTCTCCTCTCTCTCTCTCTTCTCTCTCTCTCTCGCTCGCGCTCGCGTCGCGCTCGCGCTCGCGCGCTCTCTCTCTCTCTCTCTCGCTCTCTCCCGCTCTCTCTCTCTCTCTCTCTCTCTCTCTCTCTCTCTCTCTCTCTCTCTCTCCTCTCTGCTCTCTTCGCTACTGGCTTCTGACGGAGTCTGGGTTAGGTGAGCCTGAGTGTGGGTGAGTCTGAGTATGGGTACGTCTGTGTGTGCCTGACTCTGAAGAAATGAATCTGAGTGTGAGTGAGCTTGTGTATGAGTGAGTCTGGGTGCGAGTCTGAATCCCAATGGTGCCCCTGGCAGTGTCTGGCGACTAGGAGGCCCGGGTCGACTCCTCTTTGGGAAGCCAAAATGCTGCCCCTGGCAGCGTTTGGTGACTATGAAGCCCCTGGTGGACCCCCCCTGGGGCTCCCAAATGATGCCCCTGGCAGCGTTTTGTGACCATGAGGCTCTCAAGAGAGACATGTTGGGGAGGCCAAACGGCAATTTTAGCTGAGACGTCCCACCAAAATCGGCGCGAACGGGCTCGTGAGATCAGCCAGGGTGGCTCCCCCTTGGGGCTCCCAAATGATGCCCCTGGCAGCGTTTTGTGACCATGAGGCTCTCAAGAGAGACATGTTGGGGAGGCCAAACGGCAATTTAGCTGAGGCGTCCCACCAAAATCGGCGCGAACGGGCTCGTGAGATCAGCCAGGGTGGCTCCCCCTTGGGGCTCCCAAATGATGCCCCTGGCAGCGTTTTGTGACCATGAGGCATGTTCAAACGGCAATTTTAGCTGAGACGTCCCACCAAAATCGGCGCGAACGGGCTCGTGAGATCAGCCAGGGTGGCTCCCCCTTGGGGCTCCCAAATGATGCCCCTGGCAGCGTTTTGTGACCATGAGGCTCTCAAGAGATACATGTTGGGGCGGCAATTCTAGCTGAGCGTCCCACCAAAATCGGCGCGAACGGGCTCGTGAGATCAGCCAGGGTGGCTCCCCCTTGGGGCTCCCAAATGATGCCCCAAGAGTGACCATGAGGCTCTCAAGAGAGACATGTTGGGGAGGCCAAACGGCAATTTTAGCTGAGACGTCCCACCAAAATCGGCGCGAACGGGCTCGTGAGATCAGCCAGGGTGGCTCCCCCTTGGGGCTCCCAAATGATGCCCCTGGCAGCGTTTTGTGATCATGAGAGAGTGTGAGTGTGAGTGAATGTGACTGTGAGTGAGTCTGAGTGAGAGCGAGTCTCATCTTATCTTATCGAGTCCTATCTTATCTTACCTTTATTACCCTCTATCTTATCTTATCTTGAAATCTCTTATCTTGTCTTAGCTTATCTTATATCAACTCATCTTATCGCATCATATCTTGTCTTATCTTATTACTCCATAGGCTGTCTTATCTTATCTATTATCCTACCTTGTCATATATCTTATCTTACCTTATCATATATTGTGCTATCTTATATTATCTTGTAGTATCTTATCTTGTCTTGTCTTATCTGGTGATTATCATTGGGAGGAGGGAGGCGCGAGCGGGAGGAAGAAGGAGGAGGAGGAGTGGGAGGCGTCAGAGTAATAACAAGAACCCCAATCCTTAGGATATGGGGAATAAATACACACACATAAACAATGCCCCTATTTTTTCATATTTTCTGGGTTTCTGTCTTCCCCCCACTTCCCATATTTTCCCATATTTTCTGGGAATCGGTGATTAATTGTGTCTGTGTGTTTTTCCCGTCCTGAGTTGTTTCTTTTTCCAACTATTCCAAAACAAGTTTCGGCCGATCGCGCCAACCCGGGAAACTCTAGGCGGCCTGGGCGCACCAGAAAAACTTGCCTGGATGACTCAAGATCACTGCGTCCAAGATGCCTGCCAGAAGGCCAAGATGGCCCCATGAGAGCAACCTATGGCCTCAATATGATGCACATGTCCAAGATAGCCTCAAGATGGACGGCCCGCAAGACAGCCCACGAGGCCCCCAGGAGCCTCCCGGGAAGCCTCCTCCCTGTCCTCCTCCTTTCCTGTCCCCATCCCAAGTCTTCCCCCCCCAAGGGGTTCCACAACCCCAAACGTTTGGCCGCATGGGCGTTTCCAAAAGGCAGGGGGCGGCTGTGATTCGCTGTGGGCGTCTCCGATAGCTCTTTCCTCCTCCACAGGCATACCTCAGCGCATTCGCCACACAGCATGTGCCCGCCAGCACGCCAGCGCCGCAGGCGCCGTTGGGCGTCACAACGGGGGACCACGCAACTGCCAGGAGGGCGGTACCCGCGGTGCACACGAGACCGGCGGCCGCCAAGCCCTTGCACGCCTGCTCGGCGCAGCAGCGCACCGCCCCGCGGCAGCCGCCCCCCGCGGCCGCGACCACGACGTCGGGATCACGCCTCCACTCTGGCAGAGCGTGGATTATAGCATGGGGGCAGAACAACTGCACAGACACAACTCTCAGAGGTCCGCGCGGCAGATCGGCGCTGGACCCTCTCCTCCCTGGCGCGCGGAGCGCGGCGGGGGCGGCTCTGAAGTCGTCGACAGGGGGCTCCAGCACCGATTCAACGTGTGTTCATGCAGTCTTTCCTTCCTCGGCATGGCCCAGCCGTTTCCCCGCACCGCCGCCATCACGAACGCACGGTCGCGCTGCAGGCGTGGCGCCGCCAGCAGCAACACCGACCCCCTCAGCCGCACTCCCGCCAGGAGGAGCCAGGACGCGAGCTAAACGGTGTCATGCGTTTTCGTTGTGCTTTCGCTTCCCCTTCGCTCTGTCTCCGTTCCGCCTCTTCTGCGAGGCGGGACCAGAACGAGAACGGCCCACGAGAGCGCCAAGACGCCGCTCAGCTCGCGCCCCGGGAGGAGCTCCCAGTCCTCGCCCACCTCGGCGGCGAGGGGGCGCGGGTCCGCGCGGAGGTCGGCCCGCGCAAGGCCCAGCGCCAGCCTCGCGAGCGGAAGACGCAGCCGTATCCGGAGCCTTGCGGGCCGGGCCCCTGGGCCAAGGCTCGGGCCAAGCCGTGATTTCCGTTTTCGTTTTGGTTTCGTGATCCCTCGTCCCGTCTTCGTTCCACCCTTGGCTGCAAAACGAAACCGAAACGAGAACGGCCCACGGAACTGCCAAACGTATCCGTGCGACCGCGTGCGGTAAGTTCGCGTCGTCTCGACGCGGCGGCGACCCCAGCGGGGGCGTTCAAGGTTGAACGCAGCCGGTGGCCGAGAATCGGCCAAGATGGAACGATCTGGCGAGCGAAGAGCCGGCGATCGCTGAAGGTTGGACAATCCGCGTGGTGTCAGAAATCAGTGCGCAAATCGTCACGACGCGAACCTGCCGTATCCGCGGGACCGCGCCCCGCAACCCAGACCGCGAGGGCGCGGGTATGGATACGTTCGCCGCTCGTGGCAACCAGCTCCGCCGCAGCGCCGCCGCCACCACGCGCGGGCTACCCCGCGCCTCGGCGGGGAGGTTCGAGGAGCAGAAAAAAACATGTGGTCGGGAGTTTTTGCATAGCGTGTCGCCGCGGCGGCCCCAGCGACACGCTATGCCTTGCGAGCGGATAGCGCGTCGCTCCGCTCCGCGGGGTGGGAAGCTCGGAGAGGCTCGGGACGTTGACGTCTCGGGACCGCGAAGTGGATAGCGTATCGCTCCAAAGCGCGAAGGGTCAGAACAGGCGCAGCGATGCGCTATCCTGCTGTGCAGAAGCTCCCCACCGTAAGCAGAAGCTTTCGGAGGTCGGTGCGGACTTCTCACTGGCGCTGGACCCCCCTCCCTGGCGCGCGGAGCGCGCCAGGGGCGGCGCCGAAGGCTCCGCCAGGAGGAGGAGGAGGAGGAGGAGGAGGAGGAGGAGGAGGAGGAAGAGGAGGAGGAGGAGGAGGAGGAGGAAGAGGAGGAGGAGGAGGAGGAGGAGGAAGAGGAGGAGGAGGAGGAAGAGGAGGAGGAGGAGGAGGGCTCCAGCGTCGGTCCAAGAACTCCGCGCGGACCTCCGAAGGCTGCCGCTTGCGTCACTGTCTGTCCCTCGAGAGGTGCGCCAGGGAGCGCCAGTTGTAGCCCACGGCCGCGAGCTGGAAGCGGCGCTCGTTCCTACAGTAGGGGCGTTGACCTAAGGAACCCAAAATAAGGAACGAGGCCCCTTTTTTCCACAAGTTAAACTTCGATGCCCGATCGAACACATAAGGAACACCTGAGGCAAGCTGTGAAACGATAGAGGAACGCGGAGCCCCTCCCCAACGAAAAGGGTTCCTTCTTCAGGGCCCCGACTGTAAGCGGTTATGTTGCTCCCATCGTACTCAAGGGCCACATCCCAAGAATCTCGAGCACCCAGAAAAAGAGTGTCGAGACAGTGTCGAACGACGATCGCCTCCCAGGGCTCTTGGTGCTCGAGATGATTTCTGGTGATCAAGGCTGAAGTAGGTTGGAACATCATAGTCCTAAGCGCGGCGGAGGCGTGGGCCGCCGCGCCGCCGTTCTGCCGGACGGCGGCCAGGACCAGAGCACGGTCGCCCTTCAGCTCGTCGGAGGCGTACTCCAGCCCGAGGCCGTCCCACTGCACTGCGGTCAGCACCACCTGAGCGCTCGCCATCGCTCGGACGTCCACTTTTTGTGCTTTTTTGGTTTCGTGCGTGGTTTTTTCGCCAAATGCTTAAGGATGCTCCTCGATGGTCCTCGCCGGAGGAAAAACGCACACGTCCGAGCGATGCCGAGGAGCGACGAAAAGAGGCGCGCCTACGCGGGGTGGCACAGCGGCCCTCCGTGGGCCGCCGGCGCGGCACGCCGCAGTGGAAAGCGAGGGCGCCCACGCGCGACCTCGTGCCACGGCAACCTGCGCGCGAGGGTCGGCGCAATCGAAACACCGTGTTGTCTTCCGGCGGTCGCCTGGCGGTCCGCCCGGAGGCACGCCGGGGCCCTCTTCAGCACCTGGCCGTTCATCTTGATGCCTCGAAAGCCGTTCTCAGAGGAGCAAGAAACGGCAGGGGCATAAACTGTTGAAGTCCGTGCGGGTCTCTGGGATCGGCGCTGGGCCCACCATCCCTGGCGCAGGGGGGCCCAACGCCGACCCAAGAAGTACGCGCGGAGCTCCGAAAGTTGCTGTTTGTGCCGGTTGTTGTTCTTCAAGTTCTGGGTGTCGTAAGCTTCGCTGACGGCGCCCACGGCGGTCAGGACGATCTCGGTCTCGCGCTTCAGCGCCTCTCCACAGCAAGCCCCAAAAAGGGAAGCGAGACGGCCGCGGGGCTTCTCAGACGTCCTCCAGCTGTCTGAGAAGCCGTCCGCGTCTTCTCAGAAGGACGGAGGTAAGCCTTCTGAGCCTTCTGCGAAGGCCCGTGTCCCCTCTCGGACGCCTGGTGGCCTGGTGGTTTTTGCGCCATAGCTCAGCTATCTGGCGGCCGTTCGGGACGATCTGGGCACCCCCGGAACGCTCTCGGCGAGGAGCAACTGCTAGAACGCATCCAGAGGCTGGAAAGCCGCCGAGAACCGACGAGAACGTCCGAAAACGTTTGAGAACTTCCGAGGACGTTCGAACCTCTGACAGCGCCCCCCCTGCCTTCCCCCCTGGGCTCGCCGCCGGGCGGCCTCCGCCGCAAAGCGCAGGGCGGAGCCGTGCTGCCGCACCGCGGCCAGCACCACCTCGGCGTCGCCGCGCAGCTGCGGGCTGGCAAACTCCAGCTCCCCCCCGAACCTCTCGTGTGTGGGCGGGCAAGAGTTGTGCAGTGCGGGCGCGGCCGCAAGAAACCCTGGCACGCAGCCCAGCCCCGAACAAAAACCCGCGCGCAAGGTGCACCCGAGGGGGGAAGCCCAGAGCGCCCTGGACGCGGCAGCCTCTGCAACGGCCGCGGGAAGTCATTTCGCAGCGCGCGGAGCGAAGAAACCCAGGATACCCTGACAAAAGGCACCTGGCTTCTTGATGCACGCCCCCATTGCATCTCGGCGGCGAGCCCGGGGGGAAGTGAGAGGGTGCGGGGCCTTGCGGGAAGCCTCCCCAGCCCTCGGCACGGGAAGCTTCTCAGACGGCGCCGGAGCCTCTGAGAGGCCCAGCCGCCTTCTGAGAGGGCCGGCTCCCTCTCGCTGTCCTCGGCTGCACGCAGGAGTGGGCCGCAGGCCAGAGAGACCTTCCGTGCGCGGGTTTTCATGGGAGCAGGGTGGCTAGATTATAGATTCGAGCGCGCAAGCAGCCGCCATCGCATCGCGCTCAGCGATCAAAAAGAGAGGGCCGGTGAACCCGCACCAAAGGTCACTCCGGCGAAGGGTCACTCTTGTGTGTAGTCGACTTCCCCCCCCTGGCGCGCCGCCGAGTTTCATATCCACCGCGTCTTGGAGTTTCAGGTTCTCGTTCCAAGGAACTCGAGGCGCAGTGGACAAGGATAAAAATCTGGCCCCTAGAGGCTCGATTTCGATTTATCTATCTCCACTGCGCCTCGGCCTTTCCGCGCACTTTCCGAGAAAGTCCAGGCCGCCGTGGATATGGATATAACTCTTGCCCGCCCCCCGCTGGTCGGGCCCCTGGGCCACGACCCCGCAGATACGGGGCTTTTTTTTCCGCGGATGCCCCGAGCGGATCGTATCCGCGCGACCGCGTATCCGCGGGATCGCGCCCCGGAATCCAAGCCGCGAGGGCGCGGGTACGGCTATGCTCGCAGCTCGTGAGCCTCCGGACCGCCTGCAGCACCACCTCTGGCGGGTGCCGGCGGCGAGCTTGGTCCGAGGAGGAACGGGTACTCGTACCGCTGCCCTTCCCTCGTTTTCGCCTTTTTGAACCTCCTGGGGGGCCCTCGTCGCCACCGCTGGAGTCGCATTGAAATGTTGCTCAGAACGCACCTCGGGAGGGGTCCGAGGAGTAGCGGTGTCGGGATGTCTTTTGCCTTCCCCGCATGAAATGGGAAGGTCAGGAGAGCATCCTTCCTTTTGGTCCTGCTGTCCTGCTGTTCATCCACCCGGGGAGGGAGGAAAAGGAGGAGGAAGAAGAGGAGGAGGAGGAATCCGAAGGGATTCCATGGATTTCCGAAGGAATCCGATGGATTCCCAAAGGAATCCGATAGATTTCCAAAGGAATCCCATGGACATCCTAAGGAATCCTATGGATTCCCTAAGGATCCCTATAGAGTTCCAAAGAAATTCTATGGATTTCCGAAAGAATCGAAGTCGAACGATAATTGCACAAACACAAACGTCTGGAGATCTGCGCAGATTTCGAGGATCCGCGCTGGGCCCTGCGGCGCCTCTGGTGCCAAGCGCTCCGCGCCACAGGAGGGGGGGGTCCAGGGCCGATCCAAGAAATCTGCGCGGTGCCCTACAACAAACGTGTCATGCAGTCGTGTTTTGGCGGCGAGCGAGGAGGGGAAGTGCGAAGGAGAAGGCCTTCTCAGAAGGCGGTGGGACTTCTCAGACGCCCTCGCGCCTTCTGAGAGGTTTTCTGTGTCTTCGGAGAAGGCTTCAGAAACTTCTCAGAAGGCCCGGAAACTTCCGAGCCTTATGAGAAGTCCCGCCCCTTCCCACTTCCACCCCGGGCGTGCCGCCTAGTTTTGCCCTCTGAAGGGAATATCCCTCTTCTCGGTCCGGTTGTCCTGTTGCCCATCCACCCGTCTGAGCTGGTTCATGTTGATTCCGCCTCGATTGCTCGCTGGACTGTGCGGTCGAAGGCTTGCCGAACTCTCACTTCTGAATCCCACCAGGATTTCAGGGCTGAGGTGGTCTACATTGGAAACATATACTAAGGATGGGTGGCAAGGACGCAAGGCCCTTGGAGGCCGAAGTTGGGGTTCTTGGGCGATGGGCGACCAGTGAAAACGGCAAAGGGCGGGCCGCAATGGCAAGGACGCAAAGCTACCCTAGAAAAGGCGGGCGTCTTTACTATGCACGTTGACTGTGTCGCGCTTCCTCTTCTGACCCCCCTTCTTTCGGACACTCGCGAGCACGGGTAACGGATCCGCGGATCTGGCGCGTGCGCACCAGATGAACGCATCCGGAGAAGGGACCCCAAAACATGAGGCCTATGTTAAGTCGGGCATGTCCACCTACAGGCAGATTTTCGACGCAACATAAAAAACTAGATCAAAATCAAAAATATCAAAAATAATATTAAAAAAACAATTCGTCCCCGGACTGAGTATTTTTGAGCATTCCCCCTGTAGAGGGACACGCCCGACTTAAGGCCAATGCCGCCTGATGTGCCGACGGCGCGCGCCGTGTCGCTTAGAGACGTGTTCCGTCGTTACTCCAGGCGCCTTCATCCACATCTGCGACTCGTCGATTCTTCCCCTGCCGGCGCTGCTGCTGACCACACTGTCAACCGGGCGTCTGACGCTCGACGCCTGTCACGCCGCGCAGCGGTAATTGTTTCAACTCGCACAATTGTTTCACAATTTCACTCTTGAAGATCATTTTCACACCTCGCCAGTAATGTCGGCCCGGCGCCTTGCCGGGGCAGGCGGTCTTCCCAAGATGCACTGAAGACGGCCCAGAGACGGACAAGGAGGCCCCGAAAAAGCCTCAAGAGGGCTTCGCAAAACACTTTCAATACCTGGGTGTTTGAAAGATGTCCGCGTCCTCGCCCCCTGTGGCACCCCAGGACGGTCCCAGACGCTCCAAGGCGACCCAATGGCCCCAAAAAACGTCCAAGACGGTCCCAAAATGACCGAAGAGACCGCCGAGACGGCCATTGAGGGCCCCAAGAGGGTCCCGAGACTGCCGAGAAAGGCCCCCAGACGACATTCGAAGGCAACAGACGGCGCAAGACCGCCCGAGACGCCCCGAGTGATGTCACCAAGCTGCCCCCAATATGCCCCCGACAAGCTCTCAGGAGGCCCTAAACGCTCCTGCCCTGCGCGGTCCGGACGTGCTCTTAAGTCGGGCGTGTCCCCCTACAGGCGGATTTTGGACGAAACATAACAAAATTGTCAAACGTTACTTCAAAATGTTCAACAATAGTCAAAAAATCGCCCCCAGACTACTTTTTTGACTATTTTCGAATACCTATACGACCACCCTGCGGGTGATAAGGAGGCGAGGGGGGAGGGGGAACCAACGTCTCACTCAATCAATCTCGCTATCGATCTCACAATCGATTTCACATTCGATCTCACTATCGATATCAATATCGATCTCGCTATCGATCACACTATCGATCTCACAATCGATCTCACAATCGATCTCACATTCGGCCTCACATTCGGTCTCACTGTCGATCTCACTATCGATCTCACAATCGATCTCACAGTCGATCTCACATTGGGTCTCACATTCGGTCTCACTATCCATCTCACTATCGATCTCACAATCGACGTCATCATCATTATCATCAAACAACACACACACATCATCAACATCATCATCATCATCATCATCATCATCATCATCATCATCATCATCATCATCATCATCATCATCATCATCGCCATCATCATCATCATCATCATCATCATCATCATCATCATCATCATCACATCATCATCGGGACACCGACGGGACACCGACGGGACACCAGCGGGACACCGGCGGGACACCGCGCGCCACCGGCCGCCCGGAAGAGACACATTTGGTCCGGCCGCGCCTCAGCCACAGGGACACCGACGGGACACCAGCGGGACACCGGCGGGACACCGCGCGCCACCGGCCGCCCGGAAGAGACACATTTGGTCCGGCCGCGCCTCAGCCACAGGGACACCGACGGGACACCAGCGGGACACCGGCGGGACACCGCGCGCCACCGGCCGCCCGGAAGAGACACATTTGGTCCGGCCGCGCCTCAGCCACAGGAGACTTTCCTCTCGCCCGCCCACGCAGCTTCGCCTCGCCCGCGCGCACGGCACGCACGAACACGAAACCGAAATCGATTTCCCGGTAGGGGGGCTCTCCGTTCCACTTCGATCTCACCCCCTCACCTCCGATTCCTCCTGTAGAGGGACAAGCCCGACTTAAACGTGCCCCCCGAGAAGCGAAAGGAATCGTCCTTTGACGGCCCAGCGGCCCTGGAAGGGCCCCCAGGAGGCCAGGAGGAGGAGGAGGAGAAGGAGGAGGCTGAGGAGGGAGGAGGGAGGCACCCAAACCTCCGTTCTGTGCTGCCAGCACATGCCCGCATCCTGCCGCGGGGTTGTGGCCCCCAGGAACTCGAGGAGCGGTGGATGTGGACACCTGCCCGCTCACGCGGGCAGGCAGATACTCGTCGTTCATTTCTAATCATGCTCATTTCAAATTGTGCTCGTTTCTAATTGTTCCTGGCCCCCTAGTGGCTAGAAAGAGGCCCAGGATAGAACAATTAGAAATGAAAGGATCTTGCCCCCCCCCAAAAAAATCAATGAACTTTAGAATGCTTAGAAACGAACAATGTGTATGCCCGTATCCACTGCCGCGGGGTCGTGCCCCCGGGAACTCGAGGAAAGGTGGACATGGACATCTGCCCGCCCCCGCGGGCAGGCAGATAGCCGTATCCACCACTCCTCCTCATCCTCCTCCTCTTCCTCCTCCTCTTCCCCCTCCTCCTCCTCCTCCTCCTCCTCCTCCTCCTCCTCCTCCTCCTTGTCCTACTCCTCGTCCTTCCCATCCTCGTCCTCCTCCTCCTCCTCCTCCTCCTCCTCCTCCTCCTCTTCCTCCCCGAGGGCACGACTCCGAAGTGGTGGGTATGAACCTCCCTGGGACCCCCTCCAAGGGTGCGTTCTGACCAGAGCGCCGAGGCGACTCCAAGAGTGGCGGCGAGTGAAGGGCACCGGTATCGGTAGTTCTTGCATCGGTCCCTCTTCTCGAGTCTTGATTGTCTCCAGACTCTGGGTGCCCAGGCTCGAGCCAAACCCAGGGGAACAAAGAATGGCATAACCATAGCAACTCGGAGGTCCGCGCGGACTCCTCGGATCCGCGCTGGAGCTCCCTGGCGGCGCCTCCGGCGCCGCCCCTGGCGCGCGGAGCGCGCCAGGGAGGGGGGGTCCAGTGCTGATCCGAGACATCCGCGCGGACCTCCGAGTTGTTTTGTTTATGTCATTCTTCGTTCCCCCCAACGAGGCGGAGGAGGAGAAGGAGGTGGGGGAGGGGGAGGAGGGAAAGGAGGGAGGAGGGAGGGGGAGCAATAGGCGGATGAAGGCCACCTCCCGATCTCCGCGCACCCGCTCCGCGGCGCAGTCGAGCAGCGCCCCGCGGAACGGCGGGCAGGCGCGGATGGCGAGCAGGACGACCTCCGCGCGACGGGGGGCGGGCCGCGTCCCTGTCCACGGCCTCTGGGGCCGACGTCCTGGGACCCAGCGGGCGGGGCCCGCAGGGGGCCCGACCTGGTCCTGAGCTAGGGGAACGGACCATGACATGAGCATAAAAACTTCCTCCTCCTCCTCCTCCTCCTCCTCCTCCTCTTCCTCCTCCTCCAATTCTTCCTCTTCTTCCTCCTCCTCCTCCTCCGAACTTGTCCTGAGCTAGGGGAACGGACCATGACATGAGCATAACAACTCGGAGGTCCGCGCGGATTTCTCGGATCGGCATTGGACACCTCTCCCTGGCGCGCGGAACGCGCCAGGGGCGGCGCCGGAGGCGCCGCCAGCACCGATCCGAGAAATCCGCGCGGACCTCCGAGTCGTTATGTTTATGTCATTGCTCGTTCCCCGTAGCTGGGGGCTCGAGGTCCAACCGAAGATCGGCTCCCTTGGCGGTGGCTGTGGGCAAATCCCCGCCTCGGGGCCTCCCTGTCGCCGCGCAGCCGCGGGGAGGCCAAGCGGAGGGCTTCCGCGTCCTGCGGGAACCCTGGCTGCTCATCATCGCCGTCGTCCTCGTCCTCGTCCTCCTCCTCCTCCTCCTCCTCCTCATCCCTCTCCCTCCTCCTCTTCCTCATCTTCCTCCTCCTCCTCCTGCTCCTCCTCCTCTTCCTCCTCCTCCTCCTCCTCCTCCGCCTCCTCTCCTCCTCCCCTCCTCCTCCTCCTTGTCCCCTCCTTCCCCCCCTCTGTTTCCTCCTCCTCCTCCTCCTCTTCCTCCTCTTCCTCCTCTTCCTCCTCCTCCGCGTCCTCCTCCTCCCCTGCTTCTCCTCCTCCTCTTCCTCATCCTATTCCTTCTGCTCTTCCTCCTCCTCCACCTTCTCCTATTCCTCCTCTTCTTCCTCTTCTTCCTCCTCCTCCTTTTCCTCCTCCTCCTCTTCCTCCGCCTCCTCTTCCTCTTGCCGAGTTTTGCCTTTGATCCTCCGGGGTCGAGGAAAGACGCTTTCGCGAGTTTTTGGAAGAGGCTGTTTTTCAAGCCCCCCGAAGCTTCCAGAGGCTTCCGAAGAGCTCCGGGGATCAGGGTCAGGGGCCTGAAGCAAAACTTCGTCGTCGTCGTCGTCCTCCTCCTCCTCCTCCTCCTCCTCCTCCTCCTCCTCCTCCCCCTCCTCCTCATCATCCTCCTTTCCTCCTCCTCCTCCTCCTCCTCCTCCTCCTCCTCATCATCATCATCATCATCATCATCATCATCCCCGCCCTCTTCGTCGAGCATTTTCCTCCGCCGCCGGTTCCTCCTCCATCCTTCCTCTTGATCGACAATTTCCCCATGTCGGACCACCATGCGCGACGGTAGAGCGGGCCGGGCGTTTCGCCTGAGACTTCCTCACAACTCATGGCCCTGAAACCGTAAGTGCACAACAGCTGCAAGGGTGGTCAGGGAAGGTCGTTTTCTTCACAATGGAGCTCTCGCTTTAGCGCCGCCCATATACAGGACATTCGGAACCAACCCGGAAATGTCACAGGCGCAGGTCAGCGCAGGTCAGCGCAAGTCAGCGCAAGTCAAGCAAGTCAGCGCAGGTCGGCGCAGGTCGGCGCAGGTCAAGCGACCCCACGGAGGCGCAGGCCAGCGCTGGTCAGCGCAGGTCAAGCAGATCAGCGCAGGTCAGCGCAAGTCAGCGCAGGTCAGCGCACGTCTGTCGGCGGGTCGCGTCGCGCTCTCTCCTCGGCAGAGTCTCGCGTGGGCTGCGCTGATCTGCGCTGACCTTCGCGCTTGTGCTGACTTGCTTGACCTGCGTTGGCCTGCGCTGACCTACGCTGTCTCAGGCCTCGAGCGCCTTCCAATATTCCCTTGCACTAGCTTATTTCACGCTCTGCGCGTGCAAACGCACACTGTCCGTTCGCGAGAATAGCGGGCTCGTTCCACAATGGCCCCGGGCTCGCTCCGCTGAGAATCTGAGCTCGCCCCGCATAGTTCCGCTCCACGAATGCGCCTTTCCACAAAGCTTGGTTCCATCGCGCATATATTTCCCACGCGCGCACGTGCGCGCGCGCACGCACCACCGTCGACGCATCTGAATCACCTGCCAGGTTTTGAAGATCATGGCCACGCGCATCATGATCATCTCGCACGTTCGCACGTAAATATCATTTCCCGCTCACTCATCAGATCACGCGCGCATGCTGTCGCACGTGATTCACGGGGCCATCGCGTGACTTCACTTACGATACTGTTGTGCAGTTACAAGATGACGCCAATGCGGTTGCGCACCTTCGCCAACGCGCGCGCGAGGGGAGATGCTTTTCGAGTTTCTCCGAAGTGCTCATCCAAGTTATCATTCTCTCCCCCAAGTCCTCGTCTTCCCCATGCGCGTCGCCCTCCTCTGACGCATCGCCCATTCCCTCGGCGGCGAACGCGCGCGGGGTAGCGAGCTTTCCCGCCGACCAGCCGCCGAAGCGGCAGCGTGCGCCTTCAGCCCCTCGCGTCTTTTCCTCCACTCCTCTACCCTTCCACATTGGCCCCGCGCGTTCCGCAACTGCGGTGGCGGATTGGGCGGACGCTGCACGTTGGCGCCCGTCGCGGGCCGCTGCTCCCTTTCGGCGATTGCGCATTGGGCCGAGACGCCCGGTGCCGCATCAGTCACTGCTCAAACCATGTTCCTGGCCGCGGTCTCGCAGCTGTGCGTTCGCGACCCGGCAGTGTTAAGAATATTGAATGGCTTTTGGCGACTCCCGCCGCGCGCTTGGGTTGCGAGGAGCCCCAAGGGGCCCCCAGGGGGTATCTCGGGGGTCTTCAAAGGGCTGGCTAGGGAGCTCATGGGGCGGAAGGCTGGGATGTTTGGTTCGCGTTCGCTTCTTGGCTGCTTTTCGGGTTTTCTGAAGAATTCTTGGGCCTCTGAAAGGGGCCCTCGCGGGCCGCCTCGCGGCGGTCTCGGGCCATAGTGGGCTGTCTCGGGTCTCGTTCCATATAGTGGGGCCCGATCCATGAAGCGGGGCCCGCTTTCTCCTGGGGGGGGGGGCGACAAGGCGCTCTGCAAACAAAAATCTCGTTCCCGGGGGGGTTCTCGGGTGTCTGTTGGGGTTCGCTTTCGCTCCTGGGGCGGAAGGCTAGGATTTGGGGTTCGCTTTCGGTTCGTGGCTGCTTGTCGATTTCCTTTGGGCATTCTTGGGTCTCTGAGAAGGGCCTTCCAGGGCTGCCTCGTGGCCGTCTCAGGGCTTATTGAGCTGTCTTGGGTCTCGTTCCACAAAGCTAGAGGCCTCCTAGATGGGGTCGGGGTATATGTGGTCGGAGGATCTCGCCGCATCGCCAGCGGAATCGGCGATGCATCGCCAACGCGTCAGCGAAGCATCGGCGACGTTGGCGATGCATCAGCGACGCCGGCGCGGAGTGAATCAGGCTCCACATCGAGCCGCATCGCAGATGCATCGGCGATGCGGCGCGATCCTCCGACCCCATCTATCTACTCCGACCCCATCTAGGAGGCCTAGAAAAGCGGGGCCCGCCCCACAAAGCGGGGCCCGTTCCACGACGCGGGGCCCGTTCCGCAAAGCGGGCCAGAAGCCTGCGAGAGGAGCCTTGCCCAATTGTTTGTTTTCCCATGGTTCGGGTTCGAAAGGCCTGCCAAGCAAGCCCTGTCCAGCAGCTTGCTTTGCGATGGTCTTGAAGCCCTGTCCAGTAGTCTGCGGTCTCATGATGCAGCCGACAATATGGTCAAGAACGTGGTCATTTAAGAAACTTCGGACAGCTTTCCAGAAGCATCTCGAAACAAGCCCAGGCCAAGTGCTCGCGTGAACGCTGGAGGACGAACGCGGGCCAGCTTCCCAGCAACTTCGTTAAGAAACGCTGGGCCAGCTTTTGGAGAGGGGGTTTCTTAACCGTATTCTCGATTGTATTGGTTTGAAGAACCTGCTAGGCAAGCCCTGTCCATTAGTTCGCCTTCCGATCGTTCCCCGATCAATGCTTGGACTGACAGGGTCCTAGCGAGCATTGAAGGATTTGACGGGAATTCTGGGTTGATTTCGGTAGGCCGGCGGACTCCTGGGTTCCCAGCTCCCGGTTCCCAGGCTCTCAGCTGCAAATTCTGAGCCGAAATCGGCGGGCGGCTGAGTTTCCGGGCCCCCACTTTCAGCGCTCCCGGCACTGTGTGGTTCTTTGGTGCTGGCGTCCCAAGTTGCGGCAGGCTGCCCAGACCTTTGGAAGTAGAGAGCACGCAACACATATCAGAGAGTTGGTAGCCGAATGTAGCACAGGGAATGGACAACATCCAGCCGCGCGCGGCAGCTCCCGCCAACGCGCTAGTCCAGCATGCTCGGCGGCCCTCGCTCGAGAAGGGGGAGCAGAGGCCGCACTCGCGAGGAACGAACAACACGATAGCGATTCGGATGATTACAAGGATGATGACAACAACGATGACGACGATGATGACGATTATGATGGTGATGGCGAAGGTAGTGGTGATAATGGTGATGAGATGATGATGATGCTGATGATGATGATGATGATGACGATGATGATGATGACGATGATGATGATGATGATAATGATAATGATAATGATAATGAAAATGATAATGATGATGATGATGATTATGATGATGATGATGATGATGATGATGATGATGATGATGATGATGATGATGATGATGATGATGATGATGATGATGATGATGATGATGATGATGATGATGATGATGATGATGCGACCCCCTCCCCCTTCAACTTATGGTGGTGGTGGTGGAAAAGCCCATCAATGCCGCCTCTGGCGAATACGACGGCGAAATCGCGACCACGGTCTGACGTTGCCCTGGAGAAGACCTCGATCCTCGCACTCCGAGGCCTCGCTCCATTCGCGCTGGCCCGCCCCCGTCCTGCAGCACGGCGCGCCGCACCACCGGCCGTGAGTCCCGGAAGGGCCCCGGCAAGTCGGCGAGCCGCACCAGCCCGCGCTCGACGTCCGCCAGGAAGCCAGCGTCCGCCTCTGCGCCCGGCGAGCGACCCAGACAGGCTCCCGCTCCTCCACATCCTGCCGCCTGCGCATGCTGCTCCTGACGATCCTCCTCCTCCTCCTCCTCCTCCTCCTCCTCCTCTCCTCCTCCTCCTCCTCCTCCTCCTCCTCGGGTCATGAAACAAACGTTGCGGCGCAAGACTTGTCGCTGCTTTCGGCCTCCGGGGGCCCTTGCCGGGCCTCGGGACAATCAAAGAACGACTCGGGATGAGAAACCGGTCCAGGGGAATGGGTCGAGACATCTGGGGGCCGACGTCAGGCAAAAAACGCGACGTGGGGGGTCTGGAGAAAGCGAGCGCAGCGGCACCGTCGGTCCGAAGGTCCGGGCCTGCAGCCGAACTCGACTGGAGAGGGCACGCGAGAGGACACAAGAGCCTTGCGAGGGCCATGTTGCCATAGGCATGTAGGAGGCATGGGTCGCCAAACACGGGACACAGGGGCACCCCTGATTTGGCGGGGTCGGCCTACTAATCCAATTCGACTGTACGAGGGCAGCGCGGGCGGGCCTGGGCCCAGAGAGGGAGGGGTCAGGCTGCAGCGTTGGCGAAGTTCATTCCGAATGGCGGAAGCGGGAATCGGATAGACGTGAGCTGAAGTCGGATCGGCGACGGAATCGGAGCCATGCAGCCGTATCTAGAGAGGACGTGGACGCAGAGTCCAATCGACATGTGCCTTGGTACGGGGATGGCGTGAGAGAACGAGAGAGAGAGAGAGAGATAGAGAGAGAACGAGAGAGCGAAGTAGGTGGTGAAAGGAAAGACCTCTGAATTTCACCAGGCCCCCTTTGGACCTGAAGCCGAGCCATCATGCCACCTGAAGGGACGCCACGTGAGGAACGAAGGGGCGTTTCTGACCACGGCGAGCCTCGGGTACGAACCGGCGTTCCCCGACGTGGGTCTCAGGAGCAAGCGCCCCTCCTGAGCCCCAAGTGGTCCTCATTGGCTTGGCTCTTCTTTAGAAGGCCCAGTTCGTGTTTTAACGTTTTGCATTTGGGGCTCTTGACGAGCTGAAGACGCGAAGAGAAACACGCTACATGGGTTTTTAGCCTTTTTGCACATCATTTCTTCTGGCCGTTGTCAGGCCCGTGGACGTGAGCTGGCTTTTTGTTAAGCGTTGCCCGCTTCCTTGTCGAAGGCTGCTCCTTGTCTGCGCTGCCGTCTTCGCTCCCGCTCCCGCGGCCCGCCATCGCCCGCGGATCCTCCCGCTCCGCGCGCGGAGCGCACAGCTAAAAACGCTACACCAAACGCCCGACCACCGGTCTCCAACGCCGGCGCGGAACAGGCCCGGCGGCCCCGCGCACAGCCAGCAGCGACGACCCGAAAACAGCAAAAAAAGGCTATGACGAACAAATACGGTGGGCCCATTGGATAAGGAATTATATGTTTTAATTAGGCAGCATAGAAGACCACTTCGTGAAATATTCACCTGCTCGTGATAAGTACGTATACTGCACTCGAGAGCTGACAGGTCATTAGTGCCTCGCTGTCACGCCGCAGAGCGTGATCTCACAATGGGTAGTATGCAGTCCCCCCGATGAGAACTGAAAACGGGGCTCCGAAACTCGAAAGCAAATCACCCCCTCGTTCTGGCGACTCCTGGCCAGGCGCAGGTCACCAAAGGCAAAGCCTCAAGACTGCCAATCATCGCACGCTCGAGCAGCGGACATTGCCCCCGCTAGGTGTGCCGCACGAGTGAAAGACTGCCCAGGGCTGCTCTGAGAGCGTTGGCACCTGAGACGCCCCGCACCCCCAGGTCAGGCGTACGAGAACCGTTGCTGAAACTAGTGCCTAGGCAATCGAAGAAGGTGCCTCGGTATCAAAAACAACTCAATATCTATACTAAGGTTAATGGTGGGAAAAGTTGCATCGACTCCCGTAGCCCCTCGGCGAACTGTTGGTTGAACGCTGAGATCATGTACATGCTAAGCCGCTCCATGCTTTCAATGTGGGCTTCGCCCCGCGGTCGCAGGACGGAGGGTGTGCGCAGGCTATCCCAGATGCCCTCAGGACCTAAGAGCAGATCGGTCTGGTCGTAATCCCACTCGATTGTGCTCCAGGTCCGGTTCCCAGCGGGCAGCGTCTCCAGGCAAGGCACAATGGTCATGACGTCCGCGGCCCCGGAATCCTCGTAAGCGTTTCTGGATAAGGAAGCATTGGATAAGGAATCCAGCGTCTCGAAGCCAGTGGAACTTCGATCGTGGATTGGCCATGGATATCACCACCACCCTCATCAGATAAGGAATCCTCCAGGGTCTGAAGCCCCCTGGGCACATTCCTTAACGAACGCCCCCACCGTAGGGAGGACTGGACGCAAGGAGGAAGAACTGAGGACGTGGCAGACGGCAATGTTAGACAGCGTAGTCAACTGATCTGGAAACGCTGCACCAGAGGGAACTCAAAGCGCAAAAACGATGTTTCGTTATTGTTTTTCCTTAGCGTTCTTAGAATTTCTCGCCGGGACCTGGAAAGCGCTGGAAAAAACGAGCCACTTGCATCCATAAGAAGAACTCAACTCACTGGAACGTCCTCACGGCAGCGACCACGACGGCGGCGACGGCGGTGGCGGACGGCGGACAGGCCGAAGACCGCTGAGGACCGCCGAGCCCCGATCCCCGGCGACGATCGACGACGAGGACGACGACCACGACGGCGACGGCGACGACGACGACGACGACGGCGTCGACGGCGGCGACGGAGGCGGCGCAGGCGGCGGCGGCGGCGGGTATGAGGCGGGGATTCTCAGACATCCTAGGCGGCTCCCTCCTCGCGCTCTCCGCCCGTCCTCCGCCATTCCGCAGCGCAGGCCGCCGAGGGCTGGCGATCAACGCAGACCAACCGGGGGGGGAGTGAGGCCAGGGGCCAACGCTCTGGGAGCCGATCCCCCAAGACCTCGGGAGGCAGTGAACGTGACTGCTCTCGATCCTCTCAACAGGGGGGGGCCAAAAGCATCCACACCCTCACCCCCTGCTGGGGTCCTGGGACATGGGCCCCCAGAGCAATTGGTGGTGCAGAGTTTGGACAGACTCCGACGGGGTCCGCCTCCATGGGGTCGACATCGGGGACCACGCGGAACAGGGCCACCTGTGGCGGCGCGCACAAGGGCGCCGGGGCGCTGGCGAGGTGGCTTTCTGAGGAGGCAAAGGGGGTCTTCTCAGAAATGCTTGGAGCTTTCTCTCTTTGGCGGCGTGCACAAGGGGGGTGAGTGCTTCTTAGAAGCAGGCTGCTTCTTAGAAGGCGTGGGCCTTGCATCTACACGGACAAGGCCCGCGCTTCACGAGAAGCAGGGGTGCTGCTCAGAAGCCTGCCCCCCTCTCCCTAGTAATCCCACCCCTCTCTGCGCGTGGCCGATTCTGAAGAGGCGCAGAAAGGTTCGGAGCCTTCTCTCTGCCTGGGGCGTGGACGCCAAGAGGAGGCCCTCCGCTCTATCGATGGGCCGCCCCCCTCGCTACCCCCAGGCCACGATACACTCAAGAGCGGCCCCTGGACTCCTCCTCCTCCTCCTCCTCCTCCTCCTCCTCCTCCTCCTCCTCCTCCTCCTCCTCCTCTCCCCCCTTCCTCCTCCTCCTCCTCCCTCCTCCTCCTCTCTCTCCTCCTCCTCCTCCTCCCTCCTCCTCCTCTCCTCCTCCTCCTCTCGTCATCATCATCATCATCATCATCTACATCATCATCATCATCATCATCATCATCATCATCATCATCATCATCATCATCATCATCATCATCATCATCATCATCATCATCATCATCATCATCATCATCATCATCATCATCATCATCATCATCATCATCATCATCATCATCATCATCATCATCATCATCATCATCATCATCATCATCATCATCATCATCATCATCATCATCATCATCATCATCATCATCATCATCATCATCATCATCATCATCATCATCATCATCATCATCATCATCATCATCATCATCATCATCATCATCATCATCATCATCATCATCATCATCATCATCCTCATCCTCGTCCCAGGGGCCCATGCTGGCCGGCTTCTCGAGCCGAGCCTGGCCGCGGCCACGCAGGGCACCCCCGGATGGCCCAGAAAGGGCCACGGGCGCCCAAAGGCCCCTCCTCGATCCCTGAGCTTGGGGGAACGACAAGGTACACGTCGTTCATTTCTAATCGTGCTCATTTCTAATTGTGTTCGTTTCAAATTGCTCCTGGCCCCGTTGTGGCCAGGAAGAGGCCCAGGATAGAACAATTAGAAATGAAAGGATCTTGCCCCCCAGCAAAAATCAAAGAACTCTCGAATACTCAGACATGAACAATGTGTACCGCTATCTCCACTCCCCAAGCCTCTCCTGGCGTGCATTCTGACCAGGACTTCTGGGAGAATCCGGCCGTGGTGGCGAGAGCGCTCCAGGACGAGCAGCGGTACCGGCACCCTTTCCTCCTGCCCTCCGCTCTTCTCCTCGCCGCCAACACCTCCTGCTGCGCCAGGAACTGGCCCACGGCCGCCTCTCGCCATCGCTCGGACGTCCATTTTTTGTGTTTTTTTCGGTTTCGTGCGTGGTTTTTTCGCCAAATGATTAAGGATGCTCCTCGATGGTCCTCGCCGAAGGAAAAACGCACACGTCCGAGCGATGCCGAGGCCTCGCCGTCGGCGAGCACGCGCCCGTCGGCCACCAACCGCTGTAACCGCGCGGGCACGCCGCTCGCCGCCGCCACGCGGCCCTTGAGCTCCGCGACCGAGGCGCCGGCCACGTGGCCCAGCGGCAGCTCGCACGCCACCTCGCGGCGGCGGCGGCGGTGGCGGCCGGCGGAGGGGCCGAGGGCCGCCGAGGACCGCCGAGCCCCGATCCTCGGCGACGATCGACGACGAGGACGACGACGGCGACGACGACCACGACGACGACGACGACGACGACGACGACGACGGCGACGGCGACGGCGACGGCGACGGCGACGGCGACGACGACGACGACGACGACGACGACGACAACGGCGACGGCGACGGCGACGGCGACGGCGACGGCGACGACGACGACGACGACGACGACGACGGCGGCGGCGGCGGCGGCAGCGGCGGCGGCGCAGCCTCGGCGGCGACGCGGCATTGCGGCGGCGACGGCCTCGGCGGGCGGCGGCGCGGGGGCGCGGCGCCTCGCCGCTGATGCCCCAGCGCACGACGAGCGCGGGCCCAGCCACGCGCGGGCCCAGCAGCATGGCCCGCGGGGGCCGCGGCGGCGGGGAGCCTCCTCGGGCGCGGCCTGACCGACGCCTGCCCGACCATCCCCCCCCTCCACGACTCCCCATCCCCAGCGGCGTGGCCTGGGCCCCGCTGGCTGATGAACCCCCCCTAGATGGGGCATACATCGCCGTTCCGAAAGTTCCTTGAATTTTCTGACTTGGGCCCGATGGCATTGTGTGCTCACCTACTTCGCAGCCCTCTTGGCAACGGCCCCCGATGCGGTTGAGGGGCAGGATGCGTTGAACCCCCCTCCCCCCTGGAAGCCTAGCAAGATAGCACTCTTGCGTGGTCTCGGCGGGATCCTTGGCGAGTAGTTCTCCCTCGGAAAATATAATTTGTCCAGCCAACCATCAACCCCACCCATAGAAAATGGGGTCTGGATAAATCCCGCGGTGGGACCCAATCCCGCCAATGTATGACGAGTTCGGGTCATCTTGAAGTCGTCTTGAAATCATCTCCAGGTCATCTTGAGATCATGGTGTTGCACACTCGGAATGCTCCGGCCACCTTGGGGTCGCTCGGGGGCCACCGTACCTGGTCTCCAGGGCATCGCTCACATCTTGGGCCATCTTGGATTCGCCCCCAGGCCATTCCGACGCTGCGTCTGGATCCTGCAGGGGCCACGGTGTCTTCTTGTGGTCGGCCCGAGGTCATCTTCGTGCCCGTCTGAGGTCGTCGTGAAACCATGTTGGGGCCATGGGGCCGCCTGGGCATCCTGTCCTGGTCGTCCGGAGGTCTTCTGCGTTTCCAAGGAAGCTTGCGTTACGCCTAGGTAGATCGTTCCCTTCGGGCCTCGAGGGGTTTATCCCCAGCTGGGGTGGCAATTCCTTACGGTGGGGGTCTCGAAAGGGAGCCGTGACCCTCGCTGGCGACGGCGGGCGGCCTGGGCCGCTCTTTCCTCCCCGCTCCGTTCTCGTCCTCCACTCCCCTCCCCCCCTCCTCCAGGAGGAGGGGGGGGAGGGAGGGAGGGAGGGA